ATATATAAAGTGATTTTGAAATCAATACATAGGAAAAAATGAGAAAATGCGTACTAAAGGTGACTTTCGAAATAATGTTAGTGGAGTCTGTTATACCTGTTCCATCACGGCTCTTCGTTTGCACGTACGTCATAGAAAAATATTTTTTCCGTAAAATTAGTCATAAACAAAAATTCAAGTAATTCATGTGAAAGAGCGAGTAAAACTCTGTATCCCTGAGAATTTTTTCGCCGAAAGGAGTTTTATTTGCCAATATATAAGCAATTTATTACGCTAATTTTTTAGAAGGAAATGTATGTTATTGGCGAGGTCATGTTTATACGCTTTCACGGCACCAACATTTTTAGAGAGTTTYAAAATCAAAGATAAAATTTCGTTACTATCACATCATAGACGTATTAAAATGCTGTAATTCCGTGAAATTTTGAGTCGAACCGAGCAATTTTATATGCCGATCTTTACAAAGAAATGTATGGCGGCACCGTCTGGTGGACCTCTGAAGTCCACCAGAAATGGCGGCTGTTATGAACATAAATTCAGGTACAAAAAGTAGCAAATATACCTTATTTTCACTACATTTAGCAATTCTAGATCTATATTAAAACAAAAAACTACGATTTAGAAGAATTTTAGATGATTTCCACGGCTTTTCGAGAGCGTGACCTGGCGTTGTGTGACATGACTTTGGCYACCAAATAACATCAAATTATTCGCATATAAGCTCAAAAATTATCTCGAAACATAGTTTTCTAAACTATATTCTAGAGTAAAATCGATTTCATGGGAAATTAAGTTTAAATTAATTKTTTTTATCTATGACGTAACGTGCAAACGCACGAAGAATAACGGTATGTCGAGACTCGAAAATTGTGTTTGCTTCAAATGATCACGTTTCATAAGAGGCGTTTCGCTGTTCTAAACAAAGTTACGAACTTTGAAATTATTACGTGGGCTTCCTGTGGAAGTCCACGTCTAAAAATGCAACTGGCTTTTGGTGGTGGTGAATATTACGCTTCAAATTTGTAGCGCCTGCGTTGCAGATGGTCTGCAGTCTTAGAATGAAAACAAAATGGCGGACGGACGGCGGCAAAAAGTTGTCTCGTTTTAAATGGTTCTAAAATGTAGCAAAAAAAAATCTTACAAAATCAACTGATTACCATCCAAACGACATGGAATGAGGTATATAATTCAAGGTTACCGGATGATTCGTGCTGAAATGACTGGACATTTTCTATCACCGACTCGAARAGCACTACTCGCCACACAACAAGTGTTCGATGTCAACCACAAAATCTTCAAAAATAAGAAATCACATGGATATTTAAGGTTCATACTTTGACAGAAGAATAATCATTCGATGGACTAAAACATATCAAACCTCATCTGAAAAATAATGATGTCATTTTCTAAACGATGTGTTTGAACTCATGCACGTGTGAATTACTGAACTCAAAAATCTATTTTGTGTAAGAAGATTTGTTTTGGTGATTGTTTAACTTGAACAACATACACAAATCCAAAAATATGAACTGTTTGATACGATTCTGACAAAACTGCAAAAACTGTACCGTTTCTATTGTTTATATGAACTTTCAGATATTTTGAAAAATAAAGACGCTCTTAGAGAGTAAAGTCGAGCTAGTTATTTTGGAAAAGTCAGAAAGACATGATATCTAAAGAAGTT